TGTAGGGCCTGGGCACATTCGTCCACATCTGTGGGAGACACGGCGCAGCCCCCACGTGGGATCTCATGTACTATGCAACACAACAGACCCTCAGCGTGGGAGACACAGGCCAGACACGGTTCGTTTGGGCACACGGGTGACAGGCATCTCCGAAACAAACACGAGGATTAGGTCCTCCCGACAGCACAAAGTAAGTCACTCGTCCTTGGAGCCAACAGGAAAAGCACCCCAAATCTGTGACACCCCGTGTCAGAGACACAGGAAACGAGGCCTGATCTACATCCCCTCCTTCAGCAACACCAATTCCAGGACCCTCTGTCCTCAGTCCTCAAGGCCTCTGGCTCCAGGGGTGGGGTTCAGTTCAGAAAGGAGACAGGCTGACTGCAGTGTCTTGGCAGCAAGCGAGAAGAGCGCCTTCGGGGCTGGCTGGAGCAGTGACAGGAGCTGGGACCACCTGTGGCAGGTCCCACACAAAGTGAGGACCTGGATGAGAGTGTGAGTGCCATCCAGGGGCCCTGAGGGTCAACAGGAGGTTTCTGAGCATGGAAGGAACCTGAGGCCTAAGCTTTTTAATAGGCTTCATAGGAAATAAGGTCGAATGTCACAGTGATCCCCACTCACCCACACAGCTCTCCTGTTCATCGGGCTCATAGCCTGGTGGGCAGGGGTTGGGGTGTTGAGCGGGAGGCACTGGTGGTGGGGGTCCCTCGCCATGTAGGTCGTTGATGACGGCAGCTGAGCGGGGCAGGCACAAGTAGCCCCCATAGTGGTTGATGCATTTCATTTCCCCCTTGCAGGCCTCAGGGATGGTCAGGCACTCGTTGACGTCTGCAGAGAAGGGCCTGCTGGGCACAGCCAGTCTCCTGGCCTGGCTTTGCAGAGTGATGGCTAGAGCCTGGCTTGGCCTTCTCTAAGCTGTGACAGCAAAGCCTTCCCTGTCTACTCAACAAGCTAAGGCTGCTGCTCAGGGCTTGCCAGGGCTGGAGGTGGAGCACCAGGGCTGGTGCCACCATTCTCCTGCCTCCAAATGGGTCCGTATACCTCCCCAAAGCCCTGGCACAGCTCAGCACAAGACTGACTGGCAGGCCTCCTAATCCACCCCGATGGACACTGCCCTCCAACGTGACGGGACAAAGAGATAGGAGAGTGAGTCAGTGCCCACTTGCTCTCTTGCCTTCTGGTGGTGGGAGTAGGGATTCCTGGGTTTCTTGGAGAGGGAGGGGCTACCCCTAGCTGAGCTGGCCCCCAGAGAGCCAGAGCTGGTCTTGGTCCAAAAGAGCTGAGCAGGAGACAGGCAACTGGGTGGGTGCTACAGCTCTAGGAGGTGGGGTTGTCCTTGGGAAGCAGCAGTCCCCTTCCCGGTTCCTGGGGGTGTTTGGTTGCCCAAGCATACTCACCCCGGCAGTGCTGACTGTCTGGGTCCCACTCATAGCCATCTGTGCATTCCTGGAAAGGAACCAGAAGTGGCCAGTGGTCACCCTGGGGTCCCCTCAAACTGGCCAGGCCAAGACCAGGGCCTGAGCCTGGCCACCCTCCCCCTTGCTGCTAACAATGGCCCCCTGCTCCACCATTCAGGGAGGGGAGACTCTTCCCCAGCAGCAGCCACCCCAGGATCCTAGTCTCTCTGTCCCTGCCCTTCCCGATCCAGGCCAGTGTGGCTCCACCGTCCCCACCGTGTAGCTGTCAGGCTCCTCGGAATCCTGGGGAGAGGCTGCCCCCAAGAACAACAGCAGCAGCGCCCAGAGCAGTAGAGACCCGGGGAAGCAGGAGGCAAACGGGAGCATCCTGGGGCTGGGGGGTGGTGGGCAGGGGGCCGGGGCCCACGCCCCCCTGCATCCCCTGCCCCCGTCCCAGACGTCTCCCACTCAGGATCATGTTTGGGGCTCTACAGCCTCCCACAGCTAGGGGCCGACTCCTCTCGCAGGCCCTGGTCCCAGGCCCACCCGCC